GGAAACCATTGATTGACCTCACAGATTGCAAGGACCTTGTCAGTTTACAATCCCTTATTTTTTTTTTACGCCTACAGCACTTGGTCTTCCTAGGCGGTCTCCCATCCAAGTACTAACCAGGCCTGACCCTGTTTAGCTTCCAAGATCAGACATCGGGCTTGTTCAGGGTGGCATGGCCGTAAACCATGGACCGTGGCTCCACTGGGGCACAAACCCAGGACCTTTTGCATGTAAAGCAGACGTTACATTATGGAACGTTACATTATGGAACCGCTATATTATGAAACCACGTCCAACATTTTTTATTTTTGTTGTATTCCCATTTATTTTTTGTTGTCACCTGTGCTTTTGGCGTCATATCTAAGAAAGCATTGTCAAATTCAATGTCATGAATCTTTCCATATGTTTTCTCTTAGGCATTTTGTAATTTTAGCTCTTACATGTTTAGGTCTTTGATTCATTTTAATTATTGTATGTGATATAAAGTAAGGGTCCGACTTCATTCCTTTGCATGTGGATATCCAGTTCTCTCAACACCATTTGTTGAAGAGACTATCCTTTCCCTATTGAGTGGTTGTGGCACCCTTGTTGAAGATCATTTGGCCATATATGCACGTGTTTGTCTCTGGGCTCGCTATTCTAGTTCATCGGTCTATATTGTCTGTCTTTATTACTTCTTAATGAAACTGTAACAAATAAGAAATTATACATATATTTCATATATATAAATTCAAATATACGTATATATTTGAAACTAATCTGTACTGTATCCTCGAATATAAATAATTGTTCTCAGAGTTTTAATTTCTATTTTGTTTTATTCTCTAATTTTTTAGTGACCAGTCCTATGTGATTAGTTTTGTGGTTCCTAATCAAAAACGGTTGACACTTTTGGCACAACAGAAAGGGGTGGAAGGAACTTGGGTTGATATCTGCAATAATCCTGCCATGGAGGCTGAAATACTGAAAGAAATTAGAGAAGCTGCAAATGCCAGTAAGTAAAAAAATTGCTTGTCTATTGAAGTCTCTCACAATCATTTAATGATATCTTGTGCATTAGGCTCTTCAAGATGTCTATATTTGTTTTGTTTTCATAATAAAATACAGGATTTTAAAAACCTGTCTCTTAAATGTACATAATCAATTTCCACATTGGAAGGATTATTAAACCTCATATAATAGAATAACCTATCTAGTTCTTTATTGTATGTTATAGCATCCCTGCTAAGTGGTCATGTAGGTTTGTTTGGAATGTTCACTCTTTGTTCTGATAGTTTATAATGATGTGCCCTTATGTGGATCTTTTATTGTTTATCATTGTATATACTTACTTGGTGTGGGCCTGTTCAATCTAGAGGCCTATGCCCTTCAGTTCTGGGAAATATCCATCTGTTTATCTTTTGTTTGTTTGTTTGTTTCCTCTTCTTTCATAGTTTTCCCCTTTGAAATTCTGCTTGTGTTTTTATCTGGGAATACTTTTATATGGCCATTGGACCTCCTGCTTTCAACATCTAATTTTATCTTTTTTTCGTTTGTTTTCTATCTCATCCTTTTTGCTTCATATTCTGGCAGAGTCCCTCAACTTTGTTATCTCTTCTGTCTTTTGCATTTCCAATTTCCAATATCAGAATTTTAATTTAAAGAGCTCTTTCCAGCTTTCTCAGTGTTCTTTTAATAGCATCCTGTTGTTTCATGGATACAGTCAATATGTTTTCTCTTATTCCTTGAAAGATGTTAAAGGAATTCCTTTTATGAAGTTTTCTCCTGCTGCTGGCTCTATTTCCTCCAAGTTACACTGTGCTTACTTTGGTCATGGCCTTTCATATAACTACTGATCCTTTTATGTCCATTCACATTTGGGAATGAGGTACTGAAAACCTGTTTGGAAATATTACTGGGCTTCATTGCAAAATTATTCAAATGTAGTGTCTTGGGTCATTCCATTCTTCCAAAGAAACTTTCTCCATTCTCTTGCCTAGAGGATATTAGTCTGACTGCCAGTATTCTGGTAGCCAAATAGAAGACACTGGAAAAAGGCTGGGGGTGAGGCAGGTGGGTCTTACCTTCACTGAATCCTGTTTTCAATTCAGCTTTATCTTTTCCCTCTATTGTACCTAGTGTCCTTGAATCCAGAGTCTCTAGTTCAATTTTTTTTTTTTTAAATAAACCTGTCTCCAGCCTGGCTGGGAAAGGGCAAGATGAAGAACTGTCCTCTCAACAGGCTGGTGGCCAACCCTCCTGTTTTTGGTGTACCACTCATCTCTGTCTTCAGAGACATGGGCTCAGGAGGTTGCTTTGCTTCTTGTGAGCTTCTCGTTAGCAGTTAGCTTTTAGCTCTCTTGGCCCCCAATCAGTTACTGCTAGTCTGTTTGCTTTTGGTCTTATAAAATTTTGTTGAAGTCTCTCATTCAGTGTCCTCTTTCTCTCTTTTTCGTTTTTTCATTGTGGTTAATACCTTTTTAATTTTTAAAATGATTTTAGACTGTCTAAATTATTTTTCCAAGGGAAGCAGAGATAAACTGTAATTTTCATGTTTAATTGGAAGCTGTGAACCTAGTTTTAATCTGTTGGTTTCCATACTAAAAAAATAAAAGAATCATTGTTCTGATTATAGCTTATCTATATTCATTATAAATATTGGGCAATATGAAAAGTTATAAAGGAGGAAATAAAAATCATATGATAGTTATTTTCAGGTGGTGACATTACATTCTGATATATCTACACACACACATACATACATACGCACACATACTTTACATATCAACATTATGGATATTTTTCTAAGTCAGTAGTAGATACAGAATTGCATTATCATTTTCAGTAGCGAAATAATATTTCAGTATAAGAGTATACACTTAAGTCCCTGTCGTTGGTCTTCTAGGTTGAGTTCTACTTTTTACCCCTACTGTAAACAAATATATCTTGTATACTCAATTATTTTTTTTATGTAGTGATTTTCTTAGTATGGCTCCCTAAAAATGGAATTTCTGAGTAAAAGGAAATGTGTATTTTCAAGGCTTTTCTTTATGTTGTCAAATAACTCCCTCTTTCTCCAGAAGAACTAGGCTAGTTTATGCTCCTGTCACAGATACATGAGCACACCTATTTCCCTAATCAGGCTACTATTTTTTTTTTATTTTTTAAATTAACTACTTAGATTCCATTTTGGTTTAAAAATATAGTTTGTAATATTAATTAGCATGTTGAAGTTGAAAAACTAGTTTTCCTTAAGAATATATTTTTTTCATCAAGAATATTCTTATAGTCAACTCTGGACACTGTAAAGTTATTTAAATAACAGTTGCATATTAACATAATCAGACTGAAAAGTGAGTTACTATATATACTTAAAGACAGTGGCTTAATTTTTTTTCTTAAAGATGGTTTTGTTAATTATGGTATTATTAATATAGCACACTTTTTATGTTACCAGGCTGCCAGAATTGTCATTGATATAAATCCCGAATTTTTCTTTAAAGGTATTATTTCAAAAAGTATTTTAGCCAATAGGCTGTTATTCTTAGTAACTTTCTGAATTTACTAATGGCATAGAATGTGACTTGAGTAATTTGCCATTGCATATCTAACTGTGTAAAAGCAATAATGGGAAAAGTCAAGCTGGATCACAAACAGGTGGAAAATGGAATAAAATTCTAGGACCCACTAGGCCCCTATATAACTTTCCTGTGTTTGGAATGAGGAATGAAATTGAACATTTCACAATTTGGATAAAAACACTAATCATGAACTAAATGTATAAATTATAAGCTTTTCTGTGCCACAAAAGATTTATGGCAACCTTTTGCTTGAAACTGTAATTTCAGAGAATTATGCCAAAAAGTATAAAATAGCCTTGATTGTTTTCAGGTAATTCTATCTGAAATCATACATATTTTATAGCATTCTTCTTCATGTTTTAAATATAAGTATGAGGTGTAGGTAGTATCATAAAAACATGAAGTACAGAATCTTTTGGGAGTGATTTGACAACTACCAATGGCTAGAAAAATTGACATTTGCTGCCACCTACCAGTCAAATTTCATAAGGTTCCAGGAAATTGAGATAAAATGCCACATGTAAAATCACTTTTCTTTTTTCTTCCCCATATTCTTTCTCACTTGTTGGCAATTTGTCCCATTTATAGAAAACTGCATGATTGCTTTTTGCTCTCTATATAGCTTGTGGTACCAGATAATGTTGAGGGTTTCCCTAAATGAAATCTTTAATGTAGCTTCTTTTTTGGGGGGTGGGCTTTAAATAATAATTTAGTTAATAAAGAGTAAATATAGAAACTTATAAATATGCTTAATTTGCTTGTGCGCAACTTAAATGATGTGCCTGCCTAGTCCCAATTTTGTCAATGTTTCTGGAATAGGACCTGTGTAAGTAGGGAAATTAATATGAAATAAAAGGTTTTGGAGCCAAATCTGTACCTGACAATTTAACAGTTTCCTTGCAATCCAAATATGACCTTTGGGTATAGATAGGCTTATTTTAGGCATCTCTGCACAACTGAGGTGTATCAACAGAGTGGCTATGGTTTATTTGAACCAATTTTTGTTCTTTCCTATTCAGGCATTGCTTTTAGGAAGTTGGTTCTAAGTAATTTGAGAGATTATTTTTCACACTTAGCTTTATATTTTTCTCTCATTTTAATAAGAAACTCACAATTCAACCTTGCTCTCATAAAACTCAGGCTAGTATTAAAACAAAAACTTCCATGAATTTGAATTTTTTGTGCTTGTTACTGAAACCAGTTTCTTTCTAAGGTCACTTGGCCGTTAGCTGTAGTTTTAAAACATGTAGTCGTTTGCTTCTTCAGAATTGCTGTTTTAAATAATTGGACATAAAGTAAAGCTCATCTGTAGGTTAACATTAATATTAATGGGCCTTTAGAAATTTAAGGATGAGCTTATATTAATAACAGGTAACTTGATCAAATGTAATTTATTGAATTTAAAATTGAATATTGTACTAATGCTTCTATATCCCTAATCCCTACTTATATTTCCTTCATGTGTTATGTTGTCTACCTCAAATACAGTATTGCTGCATCTTATACCATCTAAAAGTATGAAATTCACAATCCCCTTTTTTATTCTGACTTGAATGTATAATAAAGCTTATGAAGGACAGTTGTCTAGAGGATTTGTTTTCTGTAGAATGAATGAATAAACATGTATGTATTTACTGAGGGCTGTCACTGTAGCCCTATGGATGACAGTGAACAAAACAAACACTGCTTTCATGGAGCATACATTCTAATAGTTGAGACAATATGTGTTGGTGGTGAGTGTTTTGAAGAAAACATAGTGTAAAAGGATATAGAGAGACAAAGGGACTTCTGTTTTGTTACGAGTGGTCAGGAAAGTCCTCTCTGAGCAGATGGCATTTGAGTGGACAGCAGGATGAAGTAAGGAAAAGAAGTGAGCCATGCATCTACAAGGGGGAAGACCGTTCCAGGCAGAGGGAACATCAAATAACAAGATTCTGAAGAGGATCTGCATAGACCAAAACAATTCAACTGAAACAATTTAAATATACTTTGAGAAATATAAAATGAAATTGTAAGATAGTGGTATCATTATGTTAACTAACATATTATTAAATAAGTTTTCTTCATCACCTGCATCATCTAGGTAAATCCCACAAAATACATCCTACTAATTTTCTCTCTCCCATTCTCCACTTGCCCCAAACTCCCCCCACCTACCCCCTCTCATTTCAGTGAAATTGGAACGATTTGAAATTCCAATCAAGGTTCGATTAAGCCCAGAGCCATGGACCCCTGAAACTGGTTTGGTCACTGATGCTTTCAAACTGAAAAGGAAGGAACTGAAGAACCATTACCTCAAAGACATTGAGCGGATGTATGGGGGCAAATAAAATGTTGCTCTCCTATTTACAGTTGTGCAGGAGGTTGCCTGGTGTTTTTTCAGCTGTCTGTTAGAATATAAGGTATATTGTTTAAAGAAATGGTAGTAAAAATACCAAGTGATTAAGATAATTGTTAAGTCTACTTTAAGTTAGTTTTGTATAGTTCTAGTGAAGCTTAAATTGAAAAGTTATTTCCCTTTAGCTGTGTTATTAATTTTAGAGCAAAAATTTTGTTTTTAAAAATTAGCCTAAGATATACCTGTTTTCATAAGAGAAATATTTAATGTTCAACAAAATAAATTGGAGTTGGAGTAGAATGCAGTTTGAGGAAATTTGCAGCTTCTGAGGTCTATTGTCTTTCTAGTTCAGAAGAAGCTTAAATATCAAGCATGACAAAAATATGTATTAACACTACTCAAAGCAGAAGTGCTACAGGCCTTTAAAATTCTCTTGCAGCCATTTATCTTAAAGGAATAAATTCAATCATAATATAATATACAGAATCAAATTATACTTTGGAAGCCATCTTAGGATTCATAATTATTGCATAGGTTAGACATAGAATCATTGTAATACTGTGAATAATTACAGTTCCTGAAGTAAGAATAAAACAGCATAAACACCAAAAATATCTAGTAATATATTTAAAGGGAAATTGAACTGCTTTTTTGAAACTTGGAGGTCTGAAATCAGTAACTGTAATTATTTGAATGACTTAAGAGTATTTAAATACATTTGAAAAAAATGCCGAAAATTGTCTTTCTCTCTTCAAAATGTAAGACTGAGACCAAGAGTAAAATAAAAGAAGTTAATCAGATTTTAACAGGAAGCATTTTCTGTTAGAAAAGGTGAGGAAACTATAAATGTTTAGAGTCAGGACCCTTGCACAGCCCTGAACCTGGGAGAGGATTTAAACTCTGAATTTATCTTTAATAACAGGGACTGATTTAAAATGTGCTCAAATTAAATTATACTTGTAATTTCAGGTCTGTTTGCTGTTGCTGACTGGATTCTTGAGCAATAGTTTATATTTCAGAAAGCCTTTCATTTTGCTTTAACTTTAGCAAAGCAGGTTGTGATGAATGACTTCTCCAATATCACGTTTGAATCTATGAATGATTAAGTAACTTGGTCGAGTTTGGGGAAGTTAAAGGGAAGAACACACTGTTACCACTGTTTTCCTGTTTGTGAGAAGAGTTTAGAAACTGGAAATGCCAGATTCAGGAAAAGGGAAGTTACTTAAAAAGGGACTGATATTTGTGCAGTAACTTGGAGTATGGGCTTCTTTTTGAATCAGGGATTATATATATATCCCTGATAGATATTCACACTTGACCCATAGTTACTGTAAAAAGCAAAAATTATTAATACTGTTACTCTTTGCACTTTTTTCTTATTCATTATATATACACATATACATATACATATATATGTATATGTATATGTATATGTATATGTTGCTTACATTGCTTTGTACAGATGTGGGCCACCACTGCAACAAAATACATTCTTTTTGCTCTAAAATATTTATAATGAAAATATTTAAATGTTATGTATATGGTGATAAAAAAGAAAAAATCATCTGGTGTTGTTATAAGCAAGAATGAAGGTTTTGTAAAGATTTCTGTTCAGTGTTCTGCAGTGTAAAATTTGAGGTATGTTCTCCCTGCAGTTATGTATATGTGAGTATTCTCATTCTTCTCAGCTTGCCTTTGAAGAGTGAAAAAACATTATCATCAAGTAGACTACTATTCAGCTTCTGCTGTTTCTGGCCCACTGTTGATCCTTTAAAGATGATTTTCTTAGACTTTTTCAATATGCGATTTTTTTCCCCCACTTGGAATTGTGGTTTTAAACGTGCAAGTGCATGCATATTCACATATTTGCACCCCCACCCACTCCATCTCCCGAAAGCTAGAACACTGCCAACTAATCTGTTGTATAGGTCCTTTAGAAACACGTAATTAACACTTAAGGTTAGGTGCTGCTAATTCTTTGTGAAAATCCAAATATTGTTTAGGGACCAGGGAGATGCCAATACCCCCTAATTTTTCATTAGGAAATATACATGTTTATGTAAACAGATCTTTCCATATTCATAGTGACTTTTCAAATATTTGAGCCTAAAGATTTTGATCCTACTCTTTTATACCTGTTTAAATCATTCACTGTTGTTATTACATGTCAGCTGGTCAAATAAAGTTGTACTTTAAAAATGTACTACAGTTATATACATTTCTAAGTTGAACATGTGTGACTTTTACATTAATTACATGGAAGTATCTTGCCTCCTTGATATTTGTATTGATTTTTTTCCCCCTAGAGTGAAGGTATAATTGTATGGCTTTTCAGAAATGAGATACAGATGACTGATTCAAAAAGTCAGAAATTAAGGACAGTAACATTTCTTTGATCATAAAGACTGATTAGTAATCCTCGCTTATATTTTCCTGATAGCATATGACAAATGTTTCTGAAATAAGCAGATGAAAACAGGTTAAAGATTGTGTGGTATTTAGAATTTAGAGAGAAATATTTTAATTTTCAAATATAGTTACAAATTAGAATGTATTCATATTTGTACTTTCTGTTAAAATGCACGATTGCAGGATTGTTACTTAGATTTTTGTTTATTGTTGATGAAAAGCTTTGTTCTTGTTTTTAAGTTTGCACTCAAATCTTAAATAAATCCACCCATGTTATCAAGCTAGTTTGTGCTTAATTATATACACTGAGATAAAATCTGTGAGTTTGAAGACTATTAGTCAAGACATAGTCATGTTGTGTGGATTATTAGTAGGTATTAATAAATGACAACTGTTACTTTTAGGCTAATTAAAATTTAGGGGAGAAATTAGTTAATCTGCATTATGTGAGGGCATCTATAAAATAGTGTTAGAGCTCTGGAACCAGACTGCTTCCATCTGTTTCCTGGCTTTGCCACTCACTGGTTTTGTGACTTTGGGAAAGTGAACTAATATCCCTCAGCTGCATTTCTCCACCTAGAAAAGTGGAGTGGACTGATAAGATCTATCTCAGCATGATTATGAGGTAACGTGAGTTAGTCCATATAAGGTGTTTACAACATAGTGAACTTATGTTAGCTATAATCATCATCATCCATCATCATCATCATCCATCATCATCATATCCAGACAATATTCATCAGTCAGGTTGTTTAACATATTGGCCAGCACATTCAGGGCCTTAAAGGATTGCCTGCCCCTGAAGACTTGGTGGAAACAGTTCTGGCTTTAGAGGTAAGAAGACCTGGGCTCATTCTATCACTAGCTTTGTAAACATGGACAAATCTCATAACACCATCTTAGCCTTAGTTTCTTATTCCCTTTATTAAAAAAAAAAGACTGGACTTCAAAAAAGATCACCTTTGCAAGAAGGGAAAGATGAATGGTGGAAGAAATGGGGAATGTAATCATCCCTAAGGTCCATTACATCTAGCTTTAATATTGTAATTCTGCTGTCCTAGGTGTGTTTTTTTTTTTTTTTTTTTTAAATAATTATGCTCTCGGTCCCAAGTTTCCTGTTAAGGATATGAGGCTGTGGATGATGCCATAAGGAAGTGGAGATTCTACTAGGTACAGGGAGTCTGTCATTCTCATATTCCCTCTTTTTTTAGTAAAAAATCAGATTGTGCACACATAATTTAAAGCAGTGCTTTCAAACTTTTCTACTGTGACCCACAATGCTGCACACTTACACTTACGTGTATATAAAACTATTTTAGGACAATGTTTATGTGAAAAATATTAATGAGATGCTCACTGACTTTATATTCTATCTCATTGATCTAAATGCTGGTTGTCACTATGAAATACTATTTTATACCCTTTAGGATGGCTATTATAAGCAACAACTACCACCAAAAAGTAACAAGTGTTATAATGAGAATGTAGAGAAATCAGAACCCTTATGAATTGCTGATGGGAATGTAAAATGGTTCAGCTGCTGTGGAGAACAGTATGGTGATTGCTCAAAAAACTAAACATAGACTTACCATATTATCTAGCAATTCTACTTCTGAGTATATAACCCAAAGAACTGAAAGCAAGGACTCGAATAGATATTTGTAAATCCATGTTCACAGCAGCATTGTTAACAACCAAAAGGTGAAAATAACCCAAAATGTCTATCGATGAATGAACAAAATGTGATATATATACACAATGGAATATTATTCAGCCTTGAAAAGGAAATTCTGACATACTATAACATGAATGAACCTTTAGAAGATTATGCTAAATGAAAAGCTAGACACAAAAGGATAAATATTGTACAATTGCACTTATATAGTACTTACAGTGGTCACATTTTTCTAGAAACAATGATGGTTGCTAGGAACAGGTTGGGGTAGTGGGGAGTTAGTTTTTAATGGGTATAGACTGGGAAGATGAAAAAATGTTCTGAGATGGTGGTAATGGTTGCACAACAATGAAAATATTTAATGCCATTGAACTGTATGCTTAAAAATGATTTATAGCAAATTTTATATACATTTTATCATAATTAAACGAGCAATTCTAATTTGCAGCCACAGCTGAGAACTGGTGTTCCAAATTAAAATGGGAGTATGTCCAGTAAAAAAAATGCTGGTCGTGACCCAAACTGAGTTCATGCCCCTACATAATAATGCTGTACAATAGAACTCTCTGTGAAGTTGAAAATGTTCTGTGTCTCTACTATCCATCACAGTAGAGACATAGCCACATGTGGCTATTAAGCATTTGAAATGTTAGTGTGACTGAGGAACTGAATTTTAAATTTCATTTCAATGTTGGACAGCACAGTTCTAGACAGTTTGCAAGCCACAGTTTGGAAAGCATAGTTTAAAACGAGCTATTCTACAAAAGTCTGTTAAAGAAAGCTGTCCCCTGGCCTCAAACTCCCCATTTCCTCTGCCTCAGGCAACCACATTGAACTCTTAGTGGATTGTTTGGGTGTTTTTACTGCCTTGTATCTAAGTAATGTACTTGTATTGCTGTTTGTCAACTTTGTCATTATTTACTTACCTTACTATACACTTCTTATCCTCCCAATATCAGTGTGTAGTTAGATCAATAAGTGTTTAAATTATAATAACTATGCTACTCAGAACTGAAACGTGTAGTAGGAAAACTGATATATTTTCCTTTCCTGCACTTTTAATCCTATGGCACTCTCTTGCATTTGTTTGGTTTTCGATACTTGTCACTAAGAATTCAACCTCAGACTCTCCGCCAATTATCGATATCTTCTCAAGACTTGCAGATAAGAATTTTAACAATTTCAACTTCTAAGGCCAATCGAATTCTGAGGTTTATTCTTATCTTTTGTATGGAAGCTAAATTTTGAACTACCAGTATTCTGGAGGAACATATACAAAAAGAAAGCTGAGGAGGGGGTTGTTTCTGTATTCATCATTCATACAATTGCTTAATTGCCCTGTTTTCTGTATAATACCCCTGTGCTGTGCGCAATGTACTTCAGTTTTCCTGCTTCGATCTACTGGGGTGAGAGGAGAGGCGGGGCAGTCATCACCCCAGTGGTATGGATGAGAGAAGTGATTGATGGGTCTGTGTTTTTTTTTTTAATATACCTCAGTCTTTGTCCTGCTATAACAGAATAACATAAATGGCATGGCTTAAACAACATTCACCTCTCAGTTCTGGGGGCTCTAAGTTTCATATCAGGGTGCTAATATTGTCAAATTCTTAATGAGATGCCCCTTTCTGGTATACAGATAGCCAGTCTCTTGCTGTATCCTCATATGGCAGAGAACAGAGAGCTAGGTCTTGTGTCTTGTCTTGTAAGGAAACTAATCCTATCATGAGGCTTCTACCCTTATGACCTAATCACCTCCCCAAGGCCCCACTTCCTAATATCATCACATTGGAGATTAGAATTTCAATGAGTTTTGGGGAGACACAAACCTTCAGTTTATGACAAAAGCTTTCAACCAAACCTTATTTTGGCTTTAGCCCCTTCTACTTTTAGAAGTATGTGGTGCTGCCATTTTCAGAGACTTTTGGACATTCTATACAATATAGAAAGCTTGGTTCTGTTTTCCTCACTGCCCATTTATGATTCTGTTAATATTTGACTTTCCATCAGCCTTCTGACTTTCAAAAATCGTTACTGTTATCATTTCTATTTCCCCACTCCTTGTGGGTTTACACCTTTAAAAATGTATTTACTGTAGTTTTGGTGGGTTTTCTTTCTTCCTGAAACTCCTTTATTCTTTACCCAGAAGTCACCCCCAGATTTCTTTATCAGATATGATGAAATCTGTATCTAAGTTATTAAGAGGCGCTTAACTACACACTAGAATAGCTAAACTTAGGAAAACTGACAATACTAAGTGATGGTGAGAATGTGCAATAAAGTATGTCAACTCATACATTGCTGGAAGGAGTGAAAATTGGTGCAACCATTTTGGAAAGCTGTTTGACTATTCATAAAGCTAAATATACATTTAACCAATGACTTAGATATCTCACTCGGGTATATACACAAGAGAAAGAAGTACACTAAGTCCTCACTTAATTTTGTCGATAGGTTCTGTAAGTTTAAGTAAAATGTATAACAAAAGCAATTTTACCCTACACTAATAGATAAAAAGAGTTAAGTTTCTATGGCAAAAAAAAATTGCATCAACATTATGGCAAAGTGACATTGAATGAAATAATGCTATTCAAGTATCTGCTGTACTTCTGTACACATACAGACCCCATAATGACCCCAAATTGGAAACGACTAAAATGCCTAGCAACAGGAGAATAGATAAAATAGTTATATTCATAAAAGGAAACACTACATAGCAAATAAAAATAATTAACTACTACTACAGGCAAAAATATGGATAAATCACAGATTGTGTCATACAAAAGTTAGTCACAAAAGAGTACATTATGAGTCCATAAGAAGTTTGAGAACAGGCAAGACATCTATAGTGATAGAATACCGAATAATGTTTGTTTGTTTGTTTTTTTCCTGAATAAGGTGGTGTTATTGCCTGAACAGAGGCATGAGAGAATCTTCTGGAATGCTAGAAATATCTTTTATCTTGTTTATAGGAGTACCCTGGGTAGGGTCAGATGTATTTGGCCTAGGCAGGTAAGATTGGTAGTATAGAGGAGAAACTGAAGGATGGGTGTATTTGGGTGTGTTGAGGGAGAAGAGCATGAACCAATTAGGTTCATTGTATTCTGTCCAGCATATGCTAATCCTCGAACTGATCAGTCTTTGGAACAAGTGTGTTTAAATAAGGATGCAGAAGAACTTGAAAGACTCATCTGATGAGGAGCATATTTGTAGGCCTAATGGAGAGGAAGCAGATACAGTGTGAAATAAGGGGCCCAGACAACTTGGGTGAACTTAGCAATAAAAAAGGAATTCTTTCCATTTGTGACAACATAAGTGAACGTTGAGGGTATTATGCTAAGTGACATAGGTCAGACAGAGGAAGACAAATACCATATGCTCTCAATTATACTTAGAATCTAAAAAAAAAAAAACTTTAAAAACAAGCTCATAGATACAGAGAACAATTGGTTGTGGGGGCAGGAGGGGACAAAATGGGTAAAGGGAATCAAAAGGTACAAGCTTCTACTTATAAAATAAGTCTTGGGAGTGTAATGTACAGCATGGCGACTATTGTTAATAATATACTATATTACATATTTGAAAGTTGCTAGGAGGGTAGGGCTTAA